CTAGTTTTTGGCCTAAGCAACTAGATAAGTGGTGATGCCATTACTGAGGTGGGGAAAAGCTGAGGAGGGACTTGGGGAGGAAATGAGTAATTTGGTTTGGGCCTTGCTAAGTTTGCAACCTGATTATAGATGTCCAGTAGGCGAATGGCTACGTGCCTCTGGAGTTCTGGGGAGAGATCTAGGCTGGAGATACAAATTTGGGAGCTATCAGCCTATAAGTGGTATGGAATTTCATGAGAATGAGACCATCTAGGGAGAGAGCGCAGGTAGACGAGAGAAGAGTGCTGAGGACAAGCCTGGGAAGCCCCGAGCATTTAGATTGGCGAGAAGGAAGAGGTGCTAGCACAGGAAATGTGCGCTCGATGAGGCTGGAGTGAAATCAGGAGTGTGGGGCCTGGAAACCAGGAGAAATAATTCAGTTTGAAGAACTGTGATGAATCTGTGGCAGGGTGAATAAGAAAGATAGCTCATTGGTGACCACTACAAAAGCCTTTTTTGTAGAATGACAGGGATGAACATCCAATTGGAAGAAGTTGAGGAGAAAAGAGATGAAAAGGATGCAAAATAGGTTTGAGAATATTCCAGTTACCTATTGCTACCTAAAAAAAACACTTAGTAGCTTAGAACAGTGATAACATTACTTTGCATACAAATATGCCATTTTGCTCCATTTGCTATCAGCTGAGGTGTCTCAAAGTGTGCAACAAGGTCAGTGCCTAGGACCCGATATTTTTAATTTTCTTAAAAATCAGAATAGGCCTGGTGCGGTGGCTCACACCTGTAATCCTAGCACTTTGGGAGGCCGAGGGGAGAGCATCACTTGAGCTCAGGAGTTCAAAACCAGTCTGAGCAAGAGCAAGACCCCATCTCTACTAAAAATAGAAAGAAATTAATTGGCCAACCAAAAACTATATAGAAAATTATCTGGGCACAGTGGTGCATGCCTGTAGTCCCAGCTACTTGGGAGGCTGAGGAAGAAGGATTGCTTGAGCCCAGGAATTTGAGGTTGCTGTAAGCTAGGCCGATGCCATGGCCCTCTAGCCTGGGCAACAGCGTAAGACTCTGTCTCAAAAAAAAAAAAAAAAATCAGAATAAAAAATGAACATAATCCACCCTAGGCTAATCCAGCTAGGGCTGGAGTCACCTGAAGGCTCACCCGCTTGCTCACCCACTCACCCATATGCCTGGTCAGGGCTGAGGCTGGCTCTCAGCTGAGACCTTAACTGGGGCTCTCTGCCAGGACCCCTACATGTGTTCTGGGCTTCCTCACAACATGTGGCTGGGTTCCCAGGGCAAGTCCTCAGAAACAGAGCCAGGCAGAAAGAACCCTATCACTTTTGATGACCTAGCCCTGGAAGTCATATTGTGTCACTTCAGTGTGTTCTTTTCAATGAGGCGGCCACAAAGTCTTATCCAGGTTGAAGAGAGGAATAAATACGCTCCTCCCCTTGATAGGAGGAACATGTGAGGCCAAAACCATGGTGCCGTTTTTTGGAAAATACATCTACCACAAGGGGCTTTGTTGGAAGAGGAGCAAAAATTAGGACAGTCGCTGGAGGGGAATGTGGGCAGGGCCAACTTATCCAGTAGGTACATTGCCTACTGATACTCTGATTTTTAAAATCCAAATAAAAAATGAACATAATGCTCCCTAATCTAGTAGAGAAACTTAATCTATTAGAGACACTAATCTAGGGTGGATTATGTTCATTTTTATTCCGATGAATGCTAAAATAATAATACTTATTTAATATTTATTTATTCATTATATTATGATCCATGAAGGCAAAACTGTGTAGGGCCCATGAAAGTCATAATGTGGCTTGGATGTGGGGTCGAGGAGGGATTTTTGCTTTGTTTTAGTAAAGGGGATATTAAGCACATCTGAATGCTGGTGGGAACGACCCATTAGAGAGGGGTACATGGAGGCTGCAGAAGAGAAATGGAGTAATTGTGAGAATGAGGTTTGTGAGTGAGCAAAGAGATGTGGTCTAGGAAACAAGTGGTGGGGCTGGCAGGTGGAGAAGGGGCAGGGCAGCTGCTTCCGGACACCAGAGGGGGCAGAGGGCAGGGCACAGACACAGAGAAGGGAGCAGGTGAATGCCCGTTGCAAAGGTGCCTCGATGCCTGGTCCATCTGTTTCTCTGCGAAGTGTGCAACAGGGACATCAGCTGAACGTGGGAGCGAGTGGGAGCTTCGAGGGCAGGAAGGGCCATTGCATAGTCGTCGCGTGGAGCAGGAGAGGGAATTCAGCAGGGAAGCGCAGGCAGTACGATTGTCCGGCATTATTTGAAGCTTGTGCAGCCTGCGTGATTTTTATGATTTTCTGCAGCAATGTTCAGCCTCCCTGGTGCGGGTGAGGTGTGAGAGCATAGTTAGCGGATAGCTTTAACCACGGGCTGGTTTCGCCAAGGGGGTGCTTAGGGCGAGAGGAGGGACACAAAATCAAGGTTATGATGAGGAAATGGCAGGAGTGCTGGACGATGGATAAGGACAAAGAGGAAAGCGAGGCTATGAGCTAGATGATGGATGTTAAAACAACATCAGATCAATAGGTTGGAAGTCTTAGTAAGGTTGCGAATTGCTGGCGTGAAGGTGTTGGAATAACTGAGCCAGAAGGAGAGGGGCGCTGGCAGAGAAGGCAGGATTGGAATGTGCCGGAAAAGGTAGTAGAGAAACTGGTGACAGGAAGGCCTAGGGCAGTGACCCTGAAACTTCAGTGTGCACTGGGAGCACCCGGGGGCTTGGTAAAACACAGATTACTGGGCTCCACCCCCAAAGTTCCAGATTCAGTAGGTCTGAGGTGGGGCCTGAGAGTTTGCATGTCCAACAAGCCCAGACCCTGCTGGCCCAGGGACCACAAGTGAATGGGAGGCCAAGGTGAGGTGGAAGAAAGCTCTCTGGAACCAAAGAGACTGATACAGTTTGGATATTTGTCCCCTCTAAATCTCATATTGAAATGTGATCCCCGATTTTGGATGTGGGGCCTAGGGGGTGTGTTTGGGTCATGGGAGCGGGTCCCTCAAGAAGCAGCTTGGTGCTGTCCTCGCTGTAATGACTGAGCTCTCTCTGTGTTAGTTCACATGGGATCTGATGGTTAAAAAGAGAGCCTGGCGGCCAGGCGGGGTGGCTCACGCCTGTAATCCTAGCACTCTGGGAGGCCGAGGCAGGAGGATTGCTCGAGGTCAGGAGTTCGAAACCAGCCTGAGCAAGAGCAAGACCCCATCTTCTACTATAAACAGAAATTAATGGACCAACTAATATATATATAAAAAATTAGCCAGGCATGGTGGTGCATGCCTGTAGTCCCAGCTACCTGGGAGGCTGAGGCAGGATTGCTTGAGCCCAGGAATTTGAGGTTGCTGTGAGCTAGGCTGACGCCACGGCACTCACTCTAGCCTGGGCAACAAAGCAAGACTCTTGTCTAAAAAAAAAAAAAAGAGAGAGAGAGACCCTGGCACCTCCTCCCGCCCCTCACTCCCTCTCTCGCCATGTGACCATGTGACACACCTGCTTTCCTTCACCTTCCGCAGTGAGCGGAAGCTTCCTGAAGCCCTCCCCAGAAGCAGATGCCTCCAAGAAGCACTGTGCTTCTTGCACAGCCTGCAGAACCATGAGCCAAATAAACCTCTTTTCTTTATAAATTACTCAGCCTCAAGTGTTCTTTTACAGCAATGCAAAACAGACTAAGACAGAGACCAAGGACCTTTGAGGCCAGAGTGTGGGATGGGTCATTTATCACTTGGATGTTGAAGTCACTAAAATGATTGAAACGATGCTTTGACACAAGAGGTGAAGTCACCAGTAAACGATGACAACAAGGAAGAGTAAATAGTGCGGCAGAGTTGGACATGGCTTCAAAGGGACTGGCGTTTTTGAGGGAGAAAAAAGAAAAGGCCACTTGGAGGCAACACTGAGGAGTAAGGAGGACTCCAGCTCTGCTCTCAAGACTTTGAAGGTTGTGGGATGTGGGAGAAAAATCCACTGGCATTTGAAAGGATGACAGAAGAAATAGGGTTCCTACTTCAGGAGTGGCAAGAAAGTTATAAGAACTTTGAGAGATTGGGGGTGTCTGGAGGCAGGGAACAGTGAGAGGCGAGGTCAGGCCTGGGGAAGTGCCGGACAATTCAGGGGGGACAGCCGGTGGGGAATGGGCAGGGCTGCCCTGGGATTAAGGGCAGAGTCCCTGGAACTACTGCCTTTAAAGTCTTCTAGAGGGCCGGGCGTGGTGATTCATGCCTGTAATCCTAGCACTCTGGGAGGCTGAGGCGGGAGGATTGCTTAAGGTCAGGAGTTCAAAACCAGCCTGAGCAAGAGCGAGACCCCGTCTCTACTAAAAATGGAAAGAAATTAATTAGCCAACTAAAACTATATAGAAAAAATTAGCTGGGCATGGTGGCATGTGCCCGTAGTCCCAGCTACTTGGGAGGCTGAGGCAGGACTATTGCTTGAGCCCAGGAGTTTGAGGTTGCTGTGAGCTAGGCTGACGCCACAGCACTCACTCTAGCCTGGGCAACAAAGTGAGACTCTGTCAAAAAAAAAAAAAAAGGAAAAAAATGTCTTCTAGAAAAATCAGTGCTCCAGGTCTCCTGATTTCTTGGCGGTGTCATCTTTATATTACATGAAAATAAGCATGAAAATATCATTGATTTAAAAGTCAATTTGCATGCCCTTTAATATAAAAGGAAGAGCCTTCAAAGATATTTGAGGCTGTGCTCCCAGATCCTTCTCACGTGTTAGTAGTACTTTGGAGGAAATGTGAGACAAGGACCACCTGTAGGTCTGTGGGTGAAGGGCTGGATGGAGGCATTTGCATTTTAAATTGGAAAATGAAAAACCTCCAATACTCAAAGCTATGCTCTGTAAGGGACCTTCCAATGCTGTGCCGGGGCTGAGTTAGCCTGGGGACCGTTGTTCCTGTAGAGCCCTTCCCATCACAGATTCTGCCTCTTCTCACTAGACCATGTGGGGGGGAGGGAGGGGGCAGCAAGTCCCAGATCACCAGCAGATTCAATATTATGGCCGAGGAGTTGGTCTCGCTTCCTCTCTGGATTTGAGTCTCCTGTCTCCAAGATGGGCCCCTCCAGAGCAGCAGGATGTCCAGCTGAAGAGATGGAGAGTGTGACATAGGAGGGTCCAGCCTGTCGTCTCGACTTCATCCACCTCCCTCTGCCTACCTCTCAGTTTTGTCCACTTCTCCCTCTGCAGTCTCCTGGGGCCAGCGTGGTTGCTTGGTTGGCGAGGCTAAGGGGGGAGGGGTGAAGCCGGGGGAGCTTAGGCTGGAGGTCAGACCTTCCAGAGGAATCTCCTAATGGTCTTAGGGAAGCTTAGCTGGCCTGGGCCCGCCCCCTCGCCCCTGCCCCCTTGGCCGCTGATAGGAGATGAGGAAGAGGCTGCTCAAGCCTCTTGGAAAGGGAGGAAGAGGGCCCTAGCCTAGGAATCAACCAGCAGAGGCCCGGGAGGGGACAGACACTTGCTCCCTGACACTCCTGGGGGCCAAGATGGGGCAGCAGTTCAGCTGGGAGGAGGCGGAGGCGGCTGGGGAGATGGACGTGGCGGAGCTGCAGGAGTGGTACAAGAAGTTCGTGGTGGAGTGTCCCAGCGGCACGCTCTTCATGCACGAGTTCAAGCGCTTCTTCAAGGTCACAGGCAACGAGGAGGCCACCCAGTATGTAGAGGGCATGTTCCGGGCCTTCGACAAGAATGGGGTAAGGCACCCTGGAGGGGAGAAGTGGTGGCCCCTCACCCTGGAGCCAAAGGCACATCCCCGGGGAGGGCTCCCAGCCCCCCATCCCTCCTGCTCCCGCTCTCTGAGCTTCGTTCCTGTCCACCACTCACCTCTTCTGTCTCACTCTTTCCCCAAACTCTTCTCTTCCCAACATTCTGCCCCTTCCCATCTTTCCTTCCCTCCTCCCTGCCTAGCCTTCCCTCCCTCCACCTCTCAGTTTTTATCTGATGCTCCCAATACCCTCTTCCTGAGAGCTGAATGTCGTCTAGTCTGGTAGATGGTCCAGGTCCTCTTTGGTGGTATTTTTGGCCAAGTTTCTGTAGCCCATCAGAGCCCCTGTCACTCTAAACACAGGGGCAAAAGAGGTGTCCCAGATGGGACAAGCTGTCTAGCATAGACCATGAGCTCCCCCTTGTTGGGGTCCTTCAAACTGAGATAGGTCAGGTGAGAAATGTTAGAAGAGGCTCCTGCACTGACTGGGAGATTGGATTAATTACTGCCAAAGTTCCTTTCAACTCTTCAAGTCTTGGGAGATTTCATGAAATCATTCAGACCACAGGGTTTCTTTAGGCCAGGGGTCCTCAAACTTTTTAAACAGGGGGCCAGTTTGAGGATGCCTACTTAGGCCCTCCAGTGGCACTAGCAGCTGAGAATTCAAAATTCAATTCAACTTAAAACCCCTTGATTATTCAAGGTTATCCAGTTCAGTAGATCTGCAATCCTTTAAACCAGTTAAGTTTGCCTCGACTACCTATTTTGGCCCCAAGAGGGTTGGACCTGGAGAATCCATCTGGAGGAAGCGTCAGTACAGCACTCCGCCTCCCAGTGCGTGGAGAACTTGCCTTTCCCAGCTGCAGCATTGGCAGTGCCACTCCAGGTCTGCCCCTGTCCCGGGTGCCAGCCAGCGCACACTCCCTCAGTGTAGGGGTGAGGCGGGAAGGGCAGGGTCGTGTCTTTAGTGCAGCAGAATCGTCATGGAGACAGGCCCCTCGACCACCCCACAGGGCACCTTCTCTCCCCAGCCCCTCTGGGCAGCTCTGTGGGGGAGGGGATATTTTTGTTATTCCCAATTAAATGAGGAGAAAGCTGGGGCAAAAGGAAGTGAATTGAATTGCCCAATGTCATATACTCAAGGGTCCTGACAACCAGTCAAGTGCTCCTACCTACAAGGCAGGAATTTTTTAAGAAATAAAATGATTTTTTGAAAGATTTGAACATCAAAAGAAAAGTAAATACATATATCAGGTCACATATGGCATAAATAAATATGTGCCATAAATATACCAATTGTCCCCATATGCATCTAAAAATCAATGCAGCAACAGTTCAAGATCCAAAAGGGATTGTTAAGCCCCTGGGCATTATATATCATCTCTTCCTATAAGGCAGCATATATATAATAGTCATCAATTGTTTTTCTTTTTTTAAATAACTTTTTAATTGTGCTATGATTCTAAATTTACAGGAAAATTATAAGAATAATACAAGTAACTCCCATGTATAGTTTATCCAAATTCCCCAATTATTTACATTTTGCCTTATCCTTCTCTGTCTCAGTCTATATATACATGTATAATGTATGATATATGTACATATGCATACACATGATACATAATCTATGCATATACATAATATATATACATACATATTTTAAGAGAAAGTTGTAGATATTATGCCCTTTTTTGCTTAAGTATTTCATTCTATATTTTCTAAGAATGAAGACATTCTCTTATATACATTATCAAAATCAGGAAATTCAACATGGATACAATTCTATGATCTAATTGACAACCCATATTTAAGTCTGGTCAATTGTCCCAATAGTGTAGTGTTCTTTATAGCTTTCTTTCTTTCTTTTTTTTTTTTTTTTTTGGTCTGATTGCACATTTCCTTTACTTGTTGTGTCTCCTTATTCTTCTTTAATTTGGAACCTTTAATCTCAAGCTTTCTTTCTTTTTTTTTTTTTTTTTTTGGTCTGATTGCACATTTCCTTTACTTGTTGTGTCTCCTTATTCTTCTTTAATTTGGAACCTTTAATCTCAAGTTTTCTTTGTCTTATTTGACCTTGACATTTCTGAAGATGGCAGCCCAATTATTTTGTAGAATGCCCCACAATTTAGATTTGTCTGATGTTTCCCCATGATAAGATTAAGGTTTTACACTTCCTGCAGAAATGCCAGTGATGTGATGTTGTGTCCCTCTCAGTGCATCATCTGGTCATATATGTAATGTCAGTTTGTCCCATCACTGAGTGGTTAACTTTGACCATTTGGCTAGGATGATGTCTGCTAGGTTTCTCCACTCTGAAGTTACTATTTTTTTTCCTTATAATTAATAAGCCTCTTGTGGGGATACACCCTGAGACTAAGTAAATATCCTATTACTCATCAAATTTGCATCTATTAGTTTTGGCATTGATAATTTTCTAACTATGGCTGGGTGTGATGGCTCATGCCTATAAACTCAGTACTTTGGGTGGCTGAGGTCGAAGGATTGCTTAAGCCTAGGAGTTCAAGATTACAGTGAGCTATAATCATGCCACTGGTACTCCAGCCTGGATGACAGAACAAGACCCTTGCTCTAAAAAAAAAAAATTCTAGCTCTACCACTGTCCCTCCTCTATTTATTAGTTGGCAATCTGTGTAAGGAAGAGCTTTTCTAGAAGATGTTTGTAAGTTCCTCTCTGAGAGACTGAGCCTTCTTTCCCACTTGGTCTTTGTCTCCAAATCTACCCCTGAGCCCATTCCCCATCTTGGCACATCTTTATGTCAGGGAGTTTCATTTCTGGACAATTGGTCTGAGATTTCTAGAGCAAATAAAATCAAAAAAGTTTATAGGTCTAGCTTGCATATCAAAATCTGGGGTGATGGAAACAAGGTCAAGGCAAAAGGGCAGGTGCACCCTGCCTCTGCTGCTCTCCCTTGCAGTTTCTCTCTGGCGGGTGCCCTGCTACACCCTGGAATGGAAGAAAAGGGAGGATAAAGATCAAATGTCATTTGCAATTCTTACATAACATGCATTGGGGTCAGGGCTGGTGCACAAATGCATCAGTTCAGGGAGAAACGGGGCAGATAATCCCACAGAGCAGATGACACGCCCACCTATTCCTGAGCAGACAGAGGCATTTCCATCACTCTAGGGCCTCATGGGTAATTGGAGCTGACAAGGACCAGTGTACAGCAGATAGAATTAGTTCCAGCTGGAAGTTTCCCAGAAATGGTCCTGGGAGTTGCAGTAACCTCACAGATGAGACCACTTATCTAGAGATTACTCTAGAAGATGCCTCATGGAAGGCAAGAGGTCTTACTGGAAACTGAATCATGTTGAGAGAGGATGTTGTAGGAACAGAAGGTTCTGAACAAACGAGGAGGGAAAATCTAGAGATCTGGAGAGGAGGGATTTGTCAGTGGCTTTGGTTTTTTTGTCTTTCCTCTCCTTGCACCCCCAGACACCAGGCTCGTTTGCTAGACAGAAATAGAACTTGGGCGGAGAACAAAAGTTTTAACCAACTTAATGAACAAGAGAAGATGTGTAGCTTGAAAGGCTCCACCACTTGCTGGCTGGGTGGCCTTGGGCACCTCTGAGTGGCAGGTTCCTCATCCATAAAATGGGGCTAGCATTTCATACTCAGTTCTCATTAAATTAGAAACACAAGATTGTTTGCAGTAAGCTTAATAAGTACTAACCGCTAAAGAAAGTAGCCTTTTAAAGAACCAACGACCACTACTAAGTAAGAATCTACAGTAAAAAAATTATCAGAAATGTAAAAAAAACTATATATGCACAAAGATGTTCACTGTGTAACATAAAATATTAGAAGTGTGTTCAAAAAGAGGGAATGCCCAGTACACCTTCCTTCCCCCCAAAAATCTTCTAAAAGTTGAGATTTTAAATAATTTTTAAAGACACAAGAAAATCTTAAATGGAAATCCAGGAAATAAAACTATAAATATAGTCTGACCTCAATTAGGTAAATATATGGTGGGGGGTAAGGAGCCCATATATTTATAGAGATTATCTAACAGATATGAATAAAACACTTTAGGGGTTGAGGGGGGCTAGTTTCCGTTTTCTTCTTAGTCTTTCCTTATGCTTTTGGCTATTTCTCTCATTTTCTGCCATTTTCTCTTGTTGCTCAAACCTTGCTCACCCGGACACCCCTTGAGCTGGGGCTCTTGTGTGGCCTGCCTCAGTGGGACAGAAATGCTCTGGGCCATCCATGTCATTTCTGATACAAAGTTCGGAGAATGACAGACACTCCTGGGGGAACCGATGGCTCCAATTTTTTATCTGGAGAGCAAAAGTCCCAACCCTGGAATAAGTGAGCTCTAAGTGAGACCCCGGCCCGACTGACCCACTGCAGCCACCACCGTCCCACCAGCAGCCTTTTGCCTCAAACACATTTGGAGAAGAAGAGCAAGAATGTTCTCTTCCTACTTGTTGTTTACCGCTTTTGGAATAATTGTTGCTGTCCCATTTCTGTCACAAGAAATTTCTGTTTCCTGGTGAGAGTCACCGCAGTAGACTGTGCCCCTCACCCTCCCTCTGCCCACTTAGCCCCTGAGCTCTGTTTCTCCACCCTTCCTGGATGGGGGTGGGGCACAGGCCTGTCATTCAGTGTAATGGCCACCCGGGCTGAGAGGAGGGTGGGGGCCGAGCCTCCCTCAGACTCAGGGTGAGTGAGAGTGCATGGGAAAATCTCAATGTGAGCTCTGCTGCCTAATCTCCTTTCAAAACTACCTTAGTCCCCAGTTCAGATCAAGTCCATCACTGACTCACTGATTCATAAGTATTTCTTGGCTCCCAACTCTGGGCCTAGGTGGCACTTTGCTAGGCATGGAGGGGAAACACAAGCAATGTCAACCCCTCCCTTTTCTCCAGGAACATATAATGTGACATACTTAGGAAACAGTTAAGTGACAATGCCAGAGGAAGTCCCAAACTAGGTAGAACAGAGAGTAGGTGCTGTGGATGTTAGAATGGGGAGAGTGGTCGAGAAGGAAGGCTTCCTGGAGGAGGAGACCCTCGAGCTGAGCCTTGAGGGGTTGATAGGATTGGATGATCATAGAGAATGAGAATAGAGAATGTTCTCTGCCCCAGGAGTGGAAAACAGCAGGAGCAAAGGTGCAGAGGCCACATGGATTGCAAGGAATAGGAAGAGCCCTGAGGCTGCAGGGATGAGTGGCCCTGAACAGGGCCCACACCCGCATCCGGGGAGGTGGGGCTGTGGGCTGTAGGGGCCCTCAGCAGCATCCATGCCAAACACAGGACAACACCATCGACTTCCTGGAGTACGTGGCAGCCCTGAACCTCGTGCTGAGGGGCACCCTGGAGCACAAGCTGAAGTGGACCTTCAAGATCTATGATAAGGACCGCAATGGCTGCATCGACCGCCTGGAGCTGCTGGACATCGTGGAGGTCAGTGTCTCCGGGCTCTCACTCCAGCACTGCTGGGGCTCTGAGGGCTGGCTGCAGGTGGCCAGCTGGGGCTGCAGAGGAGGACCTGAAATCATTCTGAGGGTGTTTTCTGACCACTGTGGAATTGAGCTAGAAATCAACCACAAAAAGATAACTAGGCAATCCCCATCTGTTTGGAAAGTAGGCAATACACTGCCAAATATTCCATGAATGAAAAAAATACTGTCTCTCTCTCTCTCTGCCCACCCCCACACACACAAAATATTTTGAACTGAATAATAATGCAAACCTGACATGCCAAAGCGTATGGAATGGAGCTAAAGCTGGGCCTGCAGAAGCATTTATAGCCTTAAAATGTATATATTAGAAAATAAAAGGCCGAGGTGGGAGGATCACTGGAGCCCGGGTGTTCGGGGCTGCCGTGAGCTACTGCACGCCAGCCTCGGTGACAGAGTGAGACCTTGTCTCTAAAAAAAAAAAAAAAAAAAAATCAAAAAGAAAAGAAGACTGAAAATCAATAATTTAAGAAGCCATCTCAAGAAATTAGAAAAAAGAAGAGTAAATTAAGCCCAAATAAAGTGTAGGAGGAAGGAAATAAAGAGCAGAAATTAATAAAATAGAAAGCAAATACTAGCAGGAACTATCAAGGGGGAGCGAAGTCCCTGGTACATCCCGGCCCTCACGTGTCACTTCCAGCACTGAGGAGGGCGTTGTGCGGCCTGTTTTAGGAAGGAAATCGCCCCACAGCGGTCTGGGTTCTGCCCAAGCTCGGGGCCCCGGGCAGTGCCACAGCCGACCCAACCCTCAGATCCCAGCCCTCCAGCGAGGACGGCCTGGCCGCGGAGGTCAGTGAGACGCAGCCTCTGTCCTCAGGCAGCCCCAGTCGGGGCTGAGGAGCCCTCACATGTGCCCGTCTGTCGCACGTTTGCGTGGCGGCTTCGCTAAACGTGGTCTCATGCGGAGAGGAAACGGGCAAAGGAGAAGCCCCGTCTCTTCCCTCCAGTGCAGTCACCAGTGTCCTTATCCTTCTGTCTTACACACACACAGACCATGCGCAAACACCTGAGTTATCTTCTCTGCATCCCCGTTTCTTCCTCTGTGGGATGGCGCTCAGACTGTCCCGGTGACTTAAACGTCCCTCGGAGGTTGTGGTACTGGGGTTTGCGGCTCACGGCGGTGCTGGGTGGGGTGGCGCGTGCAGCCAGGAACCCCCAGGTGGGAACCAGCCCGTGGGGCTCTGGGAGCACAGCTGTAGGCCGGGTCAGTTTGGACTGGGATGTGGATCGTGCGGTCTTTAGATGCACAGCTGGGAAGCCAGCCCTGGGGAGGGACGTGGGTCCCCAGGGTGGGGATGGGGCTTGCGGGACCTCCCGCCAGTACAGCTGAGCGTTCTTGCAGGCAATTTACAAGCTGAAGAAAGCCTGCCGGGCAGAGATGGAGGCCGAGCAGCAAGGCCAGCTGCTCACCCCCGAGGAGGTCGTGGACAGGATCTTTCTCCTGGTGGATGAGAACGGAGACGGTAAGAGGGGCAGAGGCGGTGGGGGGAGGGCTGCCCACCCCGCAGGACCCCTTCTCTCTGGCCGTGTGTTCTTGGGCAAGGCCTCCACCTCCCAACAACCAGTATCCTCATCTGTGACAAGGCCGTGGAGAAGATTATGTGAACTAAAACAAGGGTATAGGAAGCACATGATGTTTGTAGGGGTGATTAAAACTCCTACATTGCTGATGGGGGCCAGGCAGGTGCAATAGAAAAAACAGAAACCTTGGAGTCAGGCAGACCGGGATGACATATTTAACCTCTCATTCTGGGCTCAGTTTCCTCATCTGAAAAATGGGGATGATAATAGTGGTTGAGAGGAATAATGGGACAATGTTTAAGAGCGAGGCACACAGGAGGCCTCCATTCAGGCTATCTGGGCTCTCCTCCCTGTAGCCCAGTGCCCAGCCCCAGGGCAGTGCGAGGAGGGGGCTGACTTGCAGAGGAATCCTAAAGAACCTCCCTCTGCTCCACCCAGCATCTCAGAGGTACCATGGGCAAAAGTAAAACTTCCATTCTTCTGCAAAGAAAGCCCCTTGAAGGTTCCAGGAGACTCCTAGAGAATCGGAGAATTGACAGGCTGCCAGCTTAGGACCCGAGGCTGCAGGCTGGTCTGCAGAAGAGGTGTAGGTGCATCCTAAGAGAGCAGGTCTCTCCTCCTGCCCCAACCCCGGGCCTTCCCTCTGCCCGCATGACCGTCTCTCCTGCCCCTGCTCAGGCCAGCTCTCCCTGAACGAGTTCATTGAAGGCGCCCGTCGGGACAAGTGGGTGATGAAGATGCTGCAGATGGACGTGAACCCGGGTGGCTGGATCTCCCAGCAGAGACGGAAAAGTGCCATGTTCTGAGGGGCCTGGGGCCCTGGGAGCCCTGGGGGAGTCTACAACCACCTCCAGGACTCCAGGATCACCCAAGTTTCCAGAGTAGCGGGAGGGTTCCTGGCTCAGCCTGCGTGTGCCCACTCTCACCCTGACATGGACTTCCTGCCACCCCTGTGCAGGGGTGAGTGGGGATGGGGAAGAGCTGCTGGGTCAGAAGTGGCCCAGGGCGCACAGTCCATTGTGGAGGATTTCTGGGGGCGGGGAAGAGAACGCAGTTACGCCCCCCTTTGGATGCTCCTGGGAGAACCACGCCTGGGCTGGGTGGTGCGGGGCTCCCACAGATCCCTAGGCGTTCCCAGTCGGGAGCAGGAGTCAACTGAGAGGAGTAGGGGCCCCACGGGCCGAGCCAGCTATGACAACGCCCACACTCATGAGTGTGAAGCAGGGGCCGAAAGGTGTTGGGACTGAAGAAAATGTAGGAGCGTGTGTTGGGACCCCCCAGGATCCCAAGCGGGGTTCCCTGGGGAGGGCCCTCGCCTGCTCCTCCCCACCACGTCCTCACCAACGGAAAGCTGCAGCAAGGAAGCGGCAGGCTGCGGTCCTCCTGCCATTTGGAGCGGTCAGTTGGCTGTGCTTAAAGGGGCTGTTTCAGCTCTGCCCCGGGGGGGGGCTCCCCAGCCGGGGGGTGCTCCCCAGCCCTGCTGCCGACCTGCCTCCCCCGACCTGCCTCCCCCGACTCCCCCTCGTCTTCCATACCTGCCCTGCCCCTACCCGCCCCCAGCCCGGGCCTTCCACAGTTCCCAGCATAAGCCGAACGTATCTCTTCAAAGGACGGAGAAACCTTCTCTCTGTCTCTGGGGAGAACTGGGGGCCTGCTGACCTGGGCTCTAGGCCTCCAACTGCTGTGTGACCCCAGATGGCCACTCCTCTCCCCTAACCTTGGTTGTCTGTCTGCACAGTGAGAGCAGGTTGGACGTGGTGAGCAGTTTTCAGATTATTTTTTTAGATGTGGATTCAGCCCCAATATAGAAACTGGATTAAAGGGGAGCAGCTCGGGTTGAAGGGGGCCAGGGAACTCGGTTCCCTCCCAGCCCCGGAGCCAGAGGCCCCTCTGAAAAAACTAAGTGAAAATCAGCAGCCTGGATCACTGTCATTCCCGTGAGATCATTTAAAAGTGGGACCTGGAAAAACATTTGTTTTACTTTGAATAGCTATGTTTTTATGTTGATGTATAAAAAATAAAATGAACCCAAACGAACCTGTAATTTTATAGGTATATGATATTCAATGAAGTGAACTGATTAAAAATTATTGATAATAATCCAGGTGGGACACAACAGACAGGCCCAAATCATGAAGGTGGTCTGTGAATGAGGTTGGGGAATGTCCTTATTCTACACAGACACCCTCCCAACCTTGACCTTTAGGATTCCCACGTGGCAGCCAGCAACGGAAGGAGCAGAAATGTCGACTCCCTTTTTCCTCCAGGCTGCCCACAGCACTGGCCTCCACCCGCCCTCCATGTCTGCTGCCCAGGCCCTGGCTGACGTCCCTGTCTGGGGTGGTCCAAGTGATGGACAGCACAGAGGGGGCAAAATGCACCCTCTCATCCCCCCACTCGGGTGCTCTCTGACCTGGTGTTTCACCCCCTTTTCCCTTGTTTTCTCTCTCCCACCCCCGGGTTTTTATTTACTCCTCACACCTGCCGCACACCCAGCTCAAGTGAAGACTCAAAGCCCAGAAGAAAGAGCATCTTTGAAAAATGATCACAATTGCTCCAGCCTCTGTCTCTCCCCAGGCTCCTGCGGCAGCCAGGCAGCTGTCATTCGGGGCAAAGCTGACAAAACCTGCCTTGGGTGGGTAGATCTCTGAGTTGGGCATTCTTAAAGTCGGGGTGTGCAAAGAATGAGGATGGGGCCCACCGGTAACAGACTGCCAACTGGTGTCAGGTGTCGCTGCAGCAAGAGGGATTTCAGTTATACCAGGGATGGTCGGGTCATTTGCAACGAGCAATGAATCACAGACCTAGGGGGAACCGTGGGACACCTCATGCCACCAAGCAGGGGAAGTATGAGGAACGTGTGCGGTCTCTTCTGGAAAACTACAGATTTCCTCTGGAAGAATGCGGATTGCTGCAGTGCGACCGGCCTTCGTTCACTTCTTAGCCAGCGCCGGACTTGAGCAAACCCTCCCAGGGTGTCTGAATGCATGCATGGGCACAGACGCTCAGATTCAGCTCTGCAGTCATCCGAACATTCCACCCTCGTCTCCATGGTAACATTATAAACTTCTTGAAGAAGTTGTGGTTTTTTCCTCTTACGGGGGCCCTAGGAGGTGCTCCCTAAAATGGGCATGGTGACCTTTATTGTTTCAAATTTGGTAAAATTTGAATCCTAAGAGATGCCCCCAATTTATACTTAAGGACGCTCCTGTCCACATCACACAGCCCCCCACATGCGACACACACATCACAGAGAACGCGCCTTCAACCTCCCCACACCTTCTCCATGCAACCCCCAACCACTCTTCCAGGTCCAAAGTCAAGAGTTACCCCCTGTGATGCTGCCTGAGTCAGACTCCTGCAGGAATCTGTTCACAGCTGCTCTCAGCAGATTTTATTAAACCGACGCTTGCCCTTGCGTCTCCCCATTAGCCTGAGTTCCTTGAGGATGAGAACTGTTTTCTTTCTCATCTAACATCTAGCACGAGCATATACTAAGTGCTCAATAAATGCTTATTGAAGAGAGGAATGAATCAACACAAACCACCAGTAGGCTCCGGGGTCCCAGAGACAGGATGGGAGTGTCATTGGAGCACGGGGATTGGGGCTGTGGCCACCGCATCTGCAGGACTCCACCAGAGACCCGGGAAAGCCCAGCCCTCCTCTGAGCTTCCACGTCTAGAAGACTGAGGACAGGAGAAGCTCCGAGGGGAAAACCGGGAGAGGAGCCCGAAGGGGAAAGGGAGGTGCGGTGGGAGGAACAGTGCCCCCAGCAGAGAGTGTCACCACCACCTGTGTCACCCAAAGTGTCCAGAAGCCATCCTTCACTGTCCCTGGCTCTGGACTTCCCCCTCCACCCCTCTGCTGCCCCCATGGACCTCAAAGAGGCCAGCGGAGCCTTTGAGTTCAGTAGATTCCATGTGGCATTAAGACAAGAACGATGACACCAGGCACCACCACCCCACCCCACCCCCAGGACAGAGGCAGCCGGGCGCTGGGCTCAGCCGGCTGCCTCCGTGGCCGGGTCACCATCCTCCTCCCCGTCCTGCTCGCTGTTCTGGAGCCTGCGCACGATGCGGGTCAGGTCCAGGCTTCGGGTCAGCGTGTCCAGGAGCATCTGGTCCTTCTGCACTCCCTCCACGAACTCTTCCAGGGAGAGTTCCCCTGGGCAAAGAGAAGGGGAGCATGGGCAGGAGGGTGTTCACACCTGCAGTGCAGGGCCCCGAGCTGGATGCTTGCAAGAGGTGGGGACAGACTGAATGCTGGGGGAAGTGGCCCAGAGGGATCCAGGGCCCCCTGTCTGGCCCAGGAATCCCTAAATGTCAGCCCTGGGGCTGGGGCAGAGGCTGGTGGAGGAGGTGACCAGAAGAGGGCCCTCAGTGCCTCCCCGTCCTCTCCTTCTCCTCTCCCCTGGTGACCTCCCACCCCTGATGACCCCACATCCCTGGTGACCCCTCCCGGGGTGAGCCCCTCACCATCCCCGTTGACGTCGATCTTGGAGAACACCGTGTCGGTGAACTCCTCCGCACTCATGGTCGTGTCGCTGCAGGGGTTAATGGCTCGAATGGCCTGCGAGAGAAGAGGCGGGCAGCAGTGTGAGGGGACACACCCTCCTCCAGTCGGAGTGGGGACAGCGGGGAGCAGGTAGAGGTGCTGGAGTCCGAGCCTCAGGCAGAGCTGGGACCGAACAGCCGGGCTTCGGTCTCCAGGTGTGGGTGAGGAAAGGCCCGCGCAGGGGAAGGGACATGGCCTGGTCACGCGGCTGGCGAGGGGCTCCTCAGTCCCAAATCCTGTCGCAATCCGGAAATCGCAGTCCCGACCCCTGTTCGGGGGTCCCCGGGGCGCCGACCCACCCGGCCCGGCCCTCTGCACCTGGAGTTACCCGGATGATGGTGAGCAGCTCGTCGCGGTCGATGCAGCCGTTGCCGTCCACGTCGTAGAGCTTGAAGTACCAGCGCAGCTTCTGTTCCACCTTGCCCTTGAGGACCAGGCTAAGCGCGGCCACGTACTCCATGAAGTCGATGTAGCCGTCCTGCAGAGGGGCGCGGCCGCCGTGAGCCCGCCGGGCCCATGCCCAGGGCAGGCCACCTCTGTCGCCGTCCCTGTCTGTCCCCGCAGCCCACCCTGCCCGCCCCGGAGAACGCGGGCCAGTCCGACCGGCCCCACGGGGTGAGAGTGGCCGACACCGTCTGCACAGGCGTCGGTGTTAGCTGCCGCTGCGTTGGCCTGTGACTCTCAGGCTTGAGCCCCTCGGGCCAGGGGGAGTGGGGGACGCGGTGTGCGGCTGGGAGGAGGAAGAACCGCACCCCCAGCGACGGGGTTTGGAAGTTTCTCACCCCGCAGGCAGGCCGGGCTGGAGCAGCGAGGGCAGGAGGGAGATGAGGAGGCCGGGAGCGCCTTCCCCATTCCCTCCTCGCTGCTCCTACTGTGCGCGGTGATCCACTGAGAATTCAGATCCCAGGGAGCTATAAGCCCTGCCCCGAGCAATGCAGTGTTGGGGCACAGGTTCGAATCCTGCCTCCACCCCCTCAAAGCTGTAGGATCTGGGGCAAAAGAGTTAATGCGTCTCTGGCCCTCGATTTCCTCATTGATAGTAGTTAGAACAGTCCCTACTCCTGTGTGATTATTGTGGGATTGAGTGAGTCCGTGTATGTAAAGCACTCAACACTGCCTGGCATGTAGCACTCAATAAACGTGACCTATTGCTACTACTAATGCTATTGTTATTATAAAGAGATCACTATGACATTGCGATGTACAGTCATCTCCCCAGTGTACTCTGGGGATGGTTCCAGGACAACCACCCACTTCACCCTCACCCTCACCCTTCCAGCCCCACCCCCTGCATATACCAAAATCTGCACATACTCAAGTCCCGCAGTCAGCTTGGTGGAACCTGAGTATAGGAAAAGCCCACCCTCCCTACACAGGGTTTCAGAGCATGCAAATACTGTATTTTGGATCCACGTCCAGTTCAAAAATATCTTTATATTCATGGACCTGCGCAGTTCAACCCGAGTTGTTCGAAGGTCAGCTGTATATTCAACAACATCATATGGACAGGACATTATGGAATCATAGGTCAGGAGCACCCACCTCTGCCAGGGCAGGAGCAAGAAGAAGGGAGCTCCAGGAGGCTACGTAGGGGAGGCGTTACCCCGCTGAGTCTCAGAGGAGTCGGTCATAGGGAAGGGTGGCAGAAGACATTCTTGCAGGATATTTCTTGAGGGCCTCCTAAAGGTTCGCTAGCTAACACTCTGCCTGGCCCTGCTGGCTCTGTGGATGGGGTCAAGGAATTAGGGGGGATGGGCCAGCCTCCGCCGGCTCCCAGCAAATTGAATGAGGCCAAGAGAGAAAGCCTGTGTCTTGTAGAAAGGCTCAGTGCTGTTAGGAAAGGAGCACTGGACTCACAGCACGTGAACTTGAACTCCAGCCTCTGCTCCTCCCCTTACAACCATGACTCTGGAACCAGGAAGTTACCAAGAAGCAGATTTTAGGTCAGTATGAAAAACTCTTTAACAGGCAGAGTTGGCCAGGCATGGTGGCTCACACCTGTAATCCTAGCACTTTGGGAGGCCGAGAGGGGAAGATTGCTTGAGACCTGGCACTCAAGCTTGAGCAAGAGCAAAACCCTGTTTCTACAAAAAATACAAAAATTACTCGGGCATGGTGGTGCATGTCTGTAGTCCCAGCTACTTGGGAGGCTGAGGCAGGAGGATCACTTGAGCCTAGGAGATTGAAGCTGCAGTGAGCTATAATCACAGCACTGCACTCTGGCCTGGGTGACAGAGTGAGACCTTGTCTCAAAAGTAAAAAAATAAATAAGGAAAGCCAGGCAGAGTTACTCATGGTGAAAGGGTCAGCCTGGTGCAATAATGAGCTCCCTGTCGGTGGAAGTATACAAGCAGAGGCTGGCAAGGATGTGGCAGAGATGGGGCAGGAGGGTCTCTGAGATCTCCTGGTCTGTGCTGGGCTGTGGCCTCGAGCAAGGCCGTAACCACTCTGAGCCCCACAGTGGAGATCTTGGACAGAGCGAGCATTTTCATGGTGCTTCCCATGTTCAAGGGCTTTCACTCACCTCAGCTCATTCAGTCCCAGCCCACCTCCCAACACTGTTATCAGAATGGAGCAAGGCCCTCCCAACAGTGCTTGGATAAGCAAGAAAACCGCTAAGGAGGTTTCCTCTGGAGAAGGGGATGTGGGGTGAGGATGCTTTTCATTCTTTATCTTTCCATATTGCTGGAAATTTCTACAATAAGCTGTATTAGTTTTATAATTTAAAAGAAAAAAAAGGCTAAAAGGGGCAATGGAAAAAGTATGGGATTTTGTACCAGAAAGACCTATTAGGAGAGGCATGACCTTGGACAAGTCACACGACCTCCTTGAGACTCAGTGGCCTCAGCTCTAAGTTAGGAATGACAATATGTACTTCTCAAGATTGTGATGTGGATTAGATTCGATGATAATACTACAGCAATACTAACCTTTTCAGTGTTCTCTGTGGACTTCCTGGGCTGGGTGCTTTATTTACTTATTTAATCTCCCAGCCCCACTCCCCACCCCTAGGAGGTGGGCATTTTTGTCTCCATTTTGGATGAGAAAGCTGAAGTTGGGAAAGATGAGACCACACTACTAATGAATGACAGAGCCTCACCTACAAACTTGGGTCTCCTAAGTCCTACACCAGGGCTCACATGTGGGCTAGAAGATTTACATTGATTTGTGTGCACCTGTGTGGCTGCCAGGCACAGCCAAGCCCAGGCAAAATTTTGAAGTAAGCAAAGCAAACGCCTGTCCCCCACTTCCCACTCCCCACTCACACCCTGTACCCTCCAGCCCCGCGTAGCCGGTGCAATGCCCCAGGATACAAATGTCTTCTAACCCAGGGGCTGGTGAACTTTTTCTGCAAAGCTCCGGATAGTAAATATTTCAGCTTTGCAGCCAAACGGCCTCTGTCATTTAGCATGAAAGCAGCCGTAGACAATTTGTAAATAAACAGGCATGGTGTGTTCTAATAAAGCTTCATGTGCAAAAATAGGCCCGTGGGCCTCATTTGCACATCCTTGTTTTATTTAACTCCTTTGTGTCAAAACTTCCCAGTCCTGTGACCCATCTCCTAGCCAACCTGCTAAACTGCTCCATGCTGATGACAACAGGTCAAGACACCATTGCTCCAAGCGTGACTACGTCCCATGGATGTATATGAGGCACAGTGGGTCTAACAAGGACGCTCTTCATTTTAATAAGTGCATAGTTAATTAATGTGTATTGTAAAATACATAACTAGCTGCAAAACTCATGACTTCTCATATATTAATTCACTGATGCAACCGATATTTATTAAGCACCTACCATGGTCCAGGCACTGTCCTAGGAGCTGGGGATTCAGCAGGGACTAAGACAGGCAAATCCCTGCCCTCGTGGAGCTTACATTCCGGCAGGGAGACAGACAGTAAACATGATGTGTAAATGTTATTTAATATCTGGTCTTATAAGATGAGAAGTGCTTGAGGGCAAAGGAGAGATTAGGAAATGCAGGGGTGGGGACCAACCCCAGTTTTAAATAAAGTTTAAACCAGGAGATCAGGTGTTAGTGAGAAATGGACATTTGAGCAGAGACTTACAGCAGGGGAAGGTGTGAGCCAAGCAGAATTCTGGGACGAGAGGGTCCCAGGCAGCACAAAGGCCCTAAGGCAGAGGTGTTGTGGCATAAGGGAGAAGGCCACATTGGGCAGAAACAAGAGGTTGATTTACTTTCAGTGGGAAGAAAAGGATCAAGTGGTGGTTGCATGTGACAAAAATTGAAGAGATGGCAGATGACAGACCCTAGTTAGGTTGTCCCTCCTTGGTGTCATATGTGTGATTTTGGGGGGTCCTCCTGCAGACATGTCTTAACCCGAAGAGTTTCCTTAGCAGACAAGAAGATGAAGTATTTTTGTGTGTTTAGGGGTAAGGTGGTGGGGCTTAACCCCTGACTCTTCTTCGCCTCCTGCTTAGGAGTTACTGCTTCTTCTGGAACATTCTGGGGGTCTGGCTTGATGATTCCACCCCTCCTAGTCTCCACACCACGGGCTCCAGTACTCGGCTCCCCTACTCCCCCTCCAAGAAAGCCCTCGGGCCCAGCATACTGCCCTTGAGGCTGGAACTCAAAGCCCATAATCTGCTTTGGTCCCTTAACCCTAAATATTAGTGAGTTTTAAATAGCCGCCGAGCCCAGCTTGCCTAGAAGCCCCGCCCACGACGGCGCCTGGGCAGCGAGGGGAGGAGCCTCTCCCGGCCTCCCTGGGCACCTGGCGGCCACCGTCTCGCCCTCACTGGCAAGCGAGGCACAGTGGGGAGGAGCCCCTTTTGTGAATTCAGGTTCTTCCACCACTACACCTTGACTGCATTGTTCCAGGTGCATAGAAGGTGCCCTATTGAAAACCAAAGAGCACCTTAACTCATGCTCCCAGCAGCCGTGGCAATGCAGGTGAATAGGCTGAGGCCTAGAGGAGAGACAACGGGCTCAAGGTCACCCAGCTGGGCCCACACCCGCCACAGTCCCAAGCTCCCCTTTCAGCATCCCCTCTAGTTTATCCTAAGGTCCTCCTCTAGTTTATCCTAACGCGTCCCAGTGGTTGCTGCGGAGACGTGCAGTTTGGCCCCCGTATGCACCTTCAGCCTCACTTGAGAAAGGACGAACTGAGGTCACTGGGCATTTTGAAACTGGGGGTATCCTGGATTCCCCAGTGCCCAGGGAACCGTCCCCAATCCTAGCATCTACAGAACATCATAGCTGAGCAGGTGGCGTGGGGCTGCCCGTCCCAAAACAGCGGGGCTGGGGACTCGTCGTCCCACTGCCTGCTCTCTGCCCCTCCTCCTGCAACCTTGGGGGCCTCCAAGGGTCTTTGCAAATGCACCATGCATAGGACTGGCACATTGAGGGTGTTCAATGACCATCTTGGAATTGTCCCTGTTCATTTTGGAGTGAACTGAGACGTATGTTTGGCATGGGCAAAGTAAACCATTAGATTCAGCCTCAGATTATGCTAATTTGTGGGTCTCTCTGTCGTCCCTTGGAAAGCGAGAACAGGGACAGGGTCTGCTTCATTTCTGATCCCCTAGTGCCTGATTCACAGTGGGTGTTCAACAGACATTAGGTGAGTTGAAGTCCTAATGTGGAAAGTCAGCCTCCCCCACAAACAGGTGACTGTGTAGATGGAGTCACCTCCAGCAGACGCTTCTGTGATCCTGTCTGCTCCTCCCCCATGTCTCCGCCAGCTGGTCAGGGCCCTCGAGGGGTCCCTCCAACACTCCCCACCCCCAGCCCCCAGCCCCTGCTCACCTTGTTGAAGTCAAAGGTCTCAAACATCTGCTCCACATACTGGCTGGCCGACGGGCTCAGGTTCTTGAGGCCGAAGAACTGGCGGAACTCATAGAGCGTGAGCTGGCCGGAGGGGCACTCGGTCATGAACTTCTTATACCACTGGTGGCACTCGGTGCTGCTCAGCTCCTCCACCGACTTCCCGTCCATCACGTTGCCCATCGTCCAGGCCTGCAGGAGGCTGATTCCCGAGACGGACGGATCCTGTTTCCTGCTGCCCCCTGCACAAGGGCGCCCGGGCCTGCTAAAATGGAGCCCTGCTGTCTCACAGGCCCGAGTGCCCTAGGTCTGGGCAAAGAAGGCCCCGATGAGTAGGACTGTGCAGGGCAATGGCAAAAGGAGGTGAGCAAAAGGGAGAGGTGGCGGGTACACCCAGATGCCAAAAAATGGGTGTTGAAAGTCCCCACTAAATCCTTGCAGCCAGTGGGACCTGCACCCAGAGAAAGAAGAGTGAAAATAGAACAAAGCTTAGAGAAGCAGAGGCCTAGGATTACAGGCTTGAGCTGTAGGTGAGAGGATTTTTTTACCCAGTGTGCAATCTCCTAATCCCTTCTTACCATGGCAGAATGGGTGTCCAGCCAGTGGCTGCTCTGATCCTATGACCTCCATGACCTTCTCCTGCTTTGAGTGGGTTCTCAATGCTTTTGCAGTCATGGTAAGAATGGCCACATGATATGGTTCTGGCCAAAGAGATAATTAAAGTCTGCTGTGGTTCCTGGGGAAGCTTTGCTTTCTTGATAAAAAGAGATAAAAGATGCAGCTAGTACTGCCTTCCCTCCTTTTGGCCTTGATATGGGTATGATGCTTTGAGTGTAGCAGCTATCTTATGACCATGTGGTTACAAGCAAAGGGCAATGCCAAGAAAACCAGAAATGTCAACCATCATTGTTGAGATGCTGAACCCATGAAAATACCCACCGCCTCTCCCCATGGCGTATGAATGACTCATCATGACTCATTTCTGGTTATGTTCCAAAAAAGAATCCCCTCTCTTTGTTTAAACAAAAAACAAACCAAAGGTTGGGCGCTGTGGCTCACGCCTATAATCCTAGCACTCTGAGAGGCCGAGGCGGGAGGATCGTTTGAACTCAGGAGTTCGAGACCAGCCTGAGCAAGAACGAGACCCCATCTCTACTATAAATAGAAAGAAATTAGCCAAAACAACTTAAAAAAAAAACACAGAAAAAATTAACGGGGCATGGTGGCGCGTGCCTGTAGTTCCAGCTACCCAAGAGGCTGAGGCAGGAGGATGGCTTGAGCCCAGGAGTTTGAGGTTGCTGTGAGCTAGGCTGACGCCATGGCACTCTAGCCTGCTCAAGAGAGTGAAATTCTGTCTCAAAAAAAAAAAAAAATGCTAGAACCCTCAGAGGAAGCTTGAGGGTGGAGGTACCAGGAAGATGATGGTTTTTATGCAATTTCGCGTGAAGAGCGCCTGGCTGTCAATCCTAGGAGGGTTCCCTGCAAACAGGACAGAAGGGAGGGCCAGGGGCCTGGAGAAGGCCAGCTCAGAACGATGGCCTGGCTCTGTCAAGAAGTGCAGGCATGGCCTTCCAGCCATCAGGGGTGGCCCGGTGTCCGTGTGCCCGGGCTGTGCCCACTGCCTGGGCTGAGGGAGGGGCCCAATGCCCCTGGGGACTGCTCAGCCTCAGCAGCCCCTTCTTGTGTGGACACCCCCCTTTACAGGTCAGAACACACGTAAGCAACCGGAAGCAGAACCCTGGACACCTAGGGAGGGAGGGAGCTCCGTGACCAAGGAGCTCCAGGTGGAATGAGCCGAGACAGGCTCTGCCTTACGTGGGCATCTGCCAAATAAAACCAGCCAGTGGAGAGAGGTCACGTGCCCTGGGCCAGGGCTGTCTTCTCGGATCTGGTCTTTCCCCCCAGGAACGGATTTCATCCTTTCTGTCATAAAAACCAGCTGGGCATGGGGCGCGCACCTGTGGTCCCAGCTCCTCGGGAGGCTGAGGAGGGAGGATCGTTTAAGCCCAGGAGCTCAAGTCCAGTCTAGGCAACACAGCGAGACCCTGTCACTGCTGGTCTCTCCCCTGCCAGCTTGGCTACTTTTTCTGCCCAGTACCTGAGCAAGTGGATCCAAAAGGCCTCCAGCTCAAGGCTGCTCCTTAGAGACCAGAGAGCAGGACTGAGACGAGGCTAACATTAATTATGTTGTCCCTGTCCCTTACCATGTGCGTGATGCCTGTGAACAGTAGGAAGTGACCAAAATGCTAACAAGATTCATCTCTGAGTGATGCAATCACCAGTGATTTTTTAAAATATTTGTTTTTTAAAAATTAACTGTATTTTTAAACGTTTTGTAAATGAACACATGTTGCTCACATAATTGAAGGGCATAGGTATTTTTGAAAAAGAAACCAAATAGGACTGTTTTACCTCTACCTAACGTGGTTGATTGAGGTACCTGGGGTCAGGGAGCTGGGGCCTCTGGCTTTGCTCAGGTTCCCCAGAGCATGTTGGTGGGCGGGGAGGGCTCCTTCGTGAACTTGCCTGGGGCCCAGCTAGAATCTGAGTCCTGGCAGAGGCCTCTCCGGCCCAAGATTTGGAAATGAAGAGGTAAGGGAGGAAGAGGCAGAAGCGTATCTGTCCATCTCTGCCTGTTTAAATCCTTTTCACTCTTCATGGGTACAAATGCCACCTCCTCTGTAAAGCCTTCCCAGATCTCTGCAGAATTCATCCTTCCCCGTCAGCACACTGTCATTGATTGCACTCAGGTGTTGATGGTTAATTTTAGGTGTCAACTTGACTGGATTAAGAGATACCCAGATAGCTGGTAGAGCATATTTCTGGGTGTGCCTGTGAAGGTGTTTCCAGAAGAGATTGTCATTGAATGAGTAGACTGAGTAAGGATACCTGCTCTCACCCACCCGACTGGCTAAGGCCAAGATAGAACAAAGAGGCAGAGAACAGGTGAATTCATTCATTCTCTCTCCCTCTCTCTCTCTCTCTCTCTCTCTCTCTCTCCCTCTCTCTCTCTCTCCCCACCCCCCTCTCTCTCAGAGCTGGGACATGCTCCTTCTCCTGCCCTTGGACAACAGATCTCTAGGTTCTCTACTTTTGGACTCCAGGACTTGCACAAGCAAGCTTCCCCCACCAACACCCCCCGCCAGGTTCTCAGGCGTCAGCCTGAGAGTCACATCATCAGCTTCCCTGGTTCTGAGACCTTTGGACTTGGACTGAGCCATGCTCCCAGCTTCCCCGTTCTCCAGCCCGCAGACAGCATATTGTGGGACCTCTCATCTTCCATAATCGCGTGAGCCAATTACCCTGACAAATCCCCTCTCGTACCTCTCTGTGTATATACATCCTATTGGTTCTGTCTCTCTGGAAAACCCTGACAAATACATGTTCTATTAGTGTTCCATGCTGCGTGACAAACTACCACAGAGTCAGCAGTTTTAAAACTACACACATTTATTATCTCACAATTTCTCTGGGCCAGAAGTCCAGGCACAGCTTAGTTGATCCCCTGCCCAAGGCCTCACGGGGCTGCAATGAGGGTGTGGGCTGGGCTGTGTTTTCATCTGGAGGCTCAACTGGGGAAGAATCCACTTCAACTCATTCAGGTTGTTGGCAGAATTCAGTTCCTTGTGGCTATGTGGCTGAGGGGCCTAGCTTTTGCTAGCTACTGTCTGGAGGCCACTGTCAGGTCCTAGAGGCTGCCCACAGTTCCTTCCTCACCATGGCTGCTGATTTCACCAGGCCAGTGAGGAGAGTCTCTCCAGTCTGCTAAAATGGAGTCTTATACCATGTAACAGAGTTAAAAGAGCCACATCCCATCACCTTAGCCGTAGTCTGTGGGTTAGAAGCAAGTCATGGGTCTCACCCACACTCAAAGGGAGGGGGTGGTACAAAGGCAAGAAGAGGCCCCAAGAGGCTGACCCCAGGGCCTGGGTCACCCAGGCTTCCCTGCCCTCTGGTCCATCCACTGAGAAGCTGGAGGAGGACTGGAGGGTGGAAAGAGAGCAGGGCTGGGTGTTTGTTCCCCTCCCTCCTTGCCGGCTCTCAGGTGGGCCGTGGTTGTTGTCTTCTCCCTCCAGCCATGGCTCCTGCCGCAGCTCTCAGGGCTCCTGTATCAACGGCTCCCTCCCCGGCACCGCAGGTATAAGGGCTTCCCTCTGTTGCTACTCTCTGGGTGCATCACCGTCCCCTTCACCATGCCCGCCTCTCTGTTACTAGTCCCCTCATCAGACTCTCTTCAATTTCCTTTTTGAAAGTAACGTTTCACTGACAGGGCCTGAGTGTGATAAAAAAGTATCAGATGAGTGCACGCAGGCATGCAGGCACGATTAAAGAAAGCCGAAATACAGTGTAACTATGATTAAACATCTGTCTTCAAGGCACCACGCTAAGCTTGTTGAATAGGCACACAAGTTCGTGGGATGGGTTATTATTATTTCCAGTGAGACAGTAGGAATTTGGGGCAGAAAACTGAAATCACCTGCTCAGGTTCACAAAGCCTTTAGTGGTGGTACCAAAGTTTTCCCACCTCATCATCACGCTTTTAGCCTAAGCCTTCACATCCATATGGAAGGGCTGAATGGAGCCAGAGTGGCCTTACCAGTGGCCTTTATCCAGTGCCATCTCCTCCCTCCACCTCCTCTGTGACCCTCTGCCTGACAGCTCCATTGACAGAGAGCTCTCCACCCAAGGGGATGGTAGGGTCCCCACCCCTTGTCTCCAGCTCAGGGTGAGAATGGACTCCCCTGAGACTGGGATGCCAAGTCAGGGAGGACGGGGATCTATACCAAGGGCTCAAGGAAGAGGTATACAAGGAAGAGGTATACAAAGAAGAGGTATACATGAGGCTATGGAAGGCTGGAGCGCAGGGATCACATGGTGGACACAGTGGCAGAGGGCTTGTGGCTTCCCCTGGCCATGCTGTCTGCAGGAACCCCTCCTGGGACAGATGCCATGCCAAAGAAAGAGCAGCCACCTGGCTGAATGGGGCAAGGAGGGGGAGTGGGTGGGGCAGGTGCAGAGGGCAGAAGCCCCAGGCCTGACTAATCCCCCTCCAAGGCTGCCCGCCGTCCACACTCCACCCCGCAGACACACAGCAGGGCACAGGGGCATTTGCCTCCTGGGATTATCTCACTCAAATCAAGGCGGGACCTCAGCCAGCTTCCCCCTAAGCTTCCTGAGGGCTTCCGCGGACACTGCTCTACCAAGGTGAACCTCAAGGGGGCGCCCATTCCCCAGAGGAGGGGAGGCGGCGTCTGCATGGGGAGTGAGGACTCCTGATGGGGACCCTGCGCCTCCCTGACGCAGGCTGTGCCATCTGGGAGGGCAGGGATGGCTCCTGTCCACATCTCTGCATCCTAAGGCCCCCACCCACCTGTCTGTTGGGTGACCGGATAAGACTTCTGGTTAGACGTAGACTGGAACCTGGTGCGAACACAAACCTGTTCCTGCTGCAGAACTTGGGGGCTGGGGAGGCGGTTAGGAGGTGGCTGCACCAGGTGCCCTGAAGGCAGGGATGCAGGACACGTGGGGCAGAAAACAGAACTGGTCAAAATTTGTCTAAGGAACCGTGAACTCCGCAGATGCCTGTGCGAGGCAGCAGACAGGCATCTCTGGGCATCTGTCCCCTCCTGACCCAGGCTGAAGGTTATTCTTGAGATTTGGACCAGACACGCCCTTGTCTCTAGGCACAGCCTCAGGAAGAGAGAGGCCACCCTGAAAGTGCGGGGTGGAAAGAGATCAGCATGCGGGGAGTGAGATGCCCCCACCCCAGCTCCTTCCCACGCTGGGCTCCAGCAACCAGGCAGGAGAGACCTGGTATAGACAGATGCCAAGGGGCCTGGTGCCAAGCCAGGATCACCAGGCAATTGAAGGAAGACTGTAACCCGAAAGAGAGCTGCAACAAACGACAGAAAAACTGGATTCTGTGCCCCTAGGGCAGCCTTGAGGAGCCTGTCTTCCTTCATCTCCACCTGCCATCTTCTTTTCAGAGAAGGGCATGCAGGACAGCCTGGCCAGTGCCACTGGCTGCTTCCCTGGGTCCCCAGACATCCATCCTGTCCCTCCTTCTCACACCAGCACCAACCTCTCCTGCACAAGAAGTATGCCCCACTGAATACACCACCATACCCAGAGTGAGATGTGGGCCTGAGAATGGAACCAGCTGGATTCACCCAGGGATGCAAATGATTGACAGCCGGCTCTCTGGCAAAAAGAAACTCCAATTGGGAGGCACTTGCTGAATGCCATGGTGTAAATACTTCCACCACAGCTGATTTCAAGTGACCCGCATGCAGCCACTGACTGTGGAGTTGGGAAGACACGGGCACGGTCAGCTCTCACAGGCCAGCATGAGCCGGCTCCGGCACACCACTGGAGTCACCCCTGGGTGGCAGTGACCAGGGACTCACTCAGGCCACTGCTATGAGTCAAGTGCCCTCTGCCTCCATCGCCCCCTTCCATGACCCATGACCCATGAGGCTAACTAGCCTTGGAGTTAGCTTTTCTTGACCAGAGCAGAGCCCATCCCCCACCAACAAACTCCAAGTCAGAAGAGGGAGTTTTATGTCAAATGGGGCTGGGAGGGGACTCCTTAGAGGCGGTGTCCATTCCCTGCGTGTCTTCCCCATGCTGTCATAGCTGCTCCAACCTGGGCTGAGAAGACCAGGCGAGAGAGCAGGGCCTGCGGGCAGCTGGTGGATCCCTGTCCTACCTGAGAGGGATCCAAGCCTGGGCCAGGGGGAGGCTTGGCCGCATGGACGTTGCTCAGGACTCGGGCTCTGGAGGGGGTTTAGGGTTACTCTTGGGATGAGGGAAGTGAGAGTTAAAGCCTTCTGAGTCTTCAGGCTCCTCTGGACATAACCTTGCTATACTACACCCCCTGGGCCTCGGTTTACATACCTCCAGCCACCCATTCAGATGCCAGGGAAAGAGGACAAACTTTAATTGCTGCTGAGAACAGAGACCTTCCTTTGCCATTGTCAACAGGGGGGCATGGCACAGCTCTCTTAGCCCGGGTACAGGTCACTCCTCCTGGAGTGAGCAGCCCCTCCCCTCTGGGACCCGGGGTTCACAGCAGTGAGGGTGCAGGGTCGGGGGATCCCGCTGGCATGGGCCTAGGAGCGCCACAACATCACGTTGGCAGAAGGCACATCAAAGCGCTTGCGGGTGTGGTCCGTGTCCCGGCGGTACAGGTAGCCACAGGTAGGCTTCTGCAAGGTATAGAAGGGGTTCAGGGAGTTTGAATACTGGGAAGTGTAGAAATGGAACCTGAGCTTGTCCGGGTTTGGTCCCCTAGGGTCCACCACGACTGGCACATAGGCTGCTGCCAGAGACTGCTCGCGGTCCTGCTTCCACGTCCGGGGCAGGGGCGGGTGCGGAGAATTCACTGTTTTGCATGTCGGTATCTTTGGCCCATGGCTGGGTACAAAGGGTTTCTGTGAGTCCTGAGAGAAGGGAAAGAAGGTTAGAGCATCCGGACACCTGACCTCGACGGCTTGAGCCAGGGGGAGGAGGGAAGAGAAGGGATCACTTCTCAGAAAGCCCCGCAGCCACCCTGGAGCCGGGGTCCTCCAGAGAAGGGGACAGCCTTCAAGGTCCCCTGAACTGGCCCTTGCCACTCAGCTGGCCCTCTGCCAGCTCTCAGAGGCTGGAGCCCGGGGGTCATCCTCAATCTGCCCATCAGTGTCCTCCTCTCCCTCCTCCTCTGCAACTCAGCCTTTGTGCTCTGTCCCCTGCAGGGCCACTCCAGCTTCCCAGCACGCCTCCTGCCCCAGGCTCCTGCTCTTTCACCCTGCTCTTTACGATCACACCAGAATGAGCCCTCTCATGCTTGGGGCATCTTTTGCTCTCGACTGCCTAGAGAGTGAAGCCCTACGCCCCTCGCCTGGAATGGGAGACCTCTCAGGCTGTGGTTTCAGCTCCCCAGATTCACATCACTCTGCCCACCCTGTGCCCCAGCCATGCTGCTCTGTCTCTCTTCCCGGCCACTCGTCCCACTTGCAGGGCCCGTGCCTTTGCCCAGGCTGTCCCCGGCCTGGCACGCCCTCCCTGCTGTTGACCAGGGAAAGCCTGTCTTTCCCGTTAGACTATGAGCTTCTTGAGGGCAGTGTCTCATACCCTTACCCTTGACATAACAGCCTCCAAATCCTACTTCCTCTTTTATTCCAGACCAAGGAATTTAGAGAGTGCTCGATAATGTTGGTTCAATTGAACTGCATTCTAGTATGGGGTGGCTCACCTTCCAACCAACCAGCACATTCTATTTTAGAACACCTCTCATTGTTAGCAAGTGCGGCCAATGCCTGCCTCCACCTAACCACCACTCTTGGCCAATCATGCACTGAGGCCTGTCCTCTCTCTACAAGTCCCCCATTGCCACATCTGTCTCATTGCACTGACATATATTTATTTCTCTGTCACTATCCTTCTCAACTGTCCTGTGACCAAACTGTCTTGTTCACCTTCGACCCCCTACAGCGCCTCCCAGGTACTGGCTGTTTGAGGACCTTCCTGGCCATGACAGTGCCACGCCAAGGATGAAGTGCCTGTAGGCGACCATCTCCCTGTGCGTGTGCTGGCACAGGGAGGCTCTATTCTGCTCCCACAAGCTTCAAATGTCAGGGAGCCCATTTCCTCTCTGCCTGGGCTCTGTGAGAGAAGCCCTTGCTACAGAGTTGGTGGAAGTTGAGCCCCTGTCCTCTCACAAAGGAGGTGCCAGGGGCTCCATGTGGCTCCTTTGTGTCTCATTCTCCAACTCTTCGCCCAGCCCAGACTTGCCAGGGCTCCCTCCTCCAGGACGGTCTTTGCCCCTGTTGGCTCCTACCCAGGTATTTATGTGCCCTCAGTTTTGCATTTCAAAATTCTCCCTGGTCTTCCAAGCCCAGCAGCTCTCTCGACACTTTCTCCAGAAACCTCTGTAGCCTCCTGCAGCCCCTGCTCCATCCCGTCCTCTCCTGTGCCTTCCGGATGCCTGTTAGGATGTGGCCCTTGCCGGTGAGGACTGTGGCGAGTCAAGCACACTGATCCTGAAGAAGTGGTCACTCTGAGAGTCGTACAAGTGCACGGGGACTGCCTCCTTCAGTTCTGTGCCCCTGGTGCTCGGGTTGTCTCACTCCAGCCCTTTGCGTGAGTCCCCCAATGGGCTGGAAGTGGCTCCCGGCAGTCAGGACCGAGTCCCATTCATCTCTGCGTCCCCAGTGCTGGCACACAGCCTCGCTGGGCACACAGCTCCTCCTGGGCACCGGAGATTACAGGCAGAGGGGCAGGCGCCAGCAACGATCTGTGCTGGTGCGAATCCACGGTGGTGTTCCACCACCATTTGTGTGCACTGCACCAAACGCTTTAAGTGCATTATCTCTTCTAATCCTCGCAGTAACCCTTTGAGGAAGGCACGATTATTAGCCCCATTTATAACTGAAAAAAAACTGAAGGGAAGAGCTTAGTCACATGTTGAAGGTCATGTGGCTGATAAGGGGCAAGGCTGGGCTTTGAACCTGGGTCTGTCCACACCCTGGGCCCCACGCCATGTCTTGTGCCCCCTGCCAGGGGCCTGTTCAGCTTCAGTTTACTTCTGCCCTCATTCTTTCAACCTGCTGAGCTCCTGCCGGGAGTGCTGGTGGCAGGCGATCAGCCAAGGCTGCCCGGATTCCCCAGCTCGGCAAGAACCCCGCACGGTTTCGATGGCTAGATTTCGGTTCTGGGTTCTTGGACGCTGCACGGATGGGACAGCACACTGGGAAGTGTGAGGTTTACTCTATGAATCATCAACATGACTGGCTTCGTTCATTCGTTCACAGCCATTCCTGAGCACCTCCTGTGTGCCAGGCTCTAGCTGTAAGGGTGACAAAGACACGACCAACACGGACACAAGAGGGTCCCCGTGGGGCACCGCTGACTCTGGGCGGGCGATCTTTGTTAGGGGGGCATCCCGTGTTTTGTAGATTGCAGCACTGGCCTCCACCCATGAGATGCCAGTAGCAACCCTCCCAGTTGTGACAACCAAAAATGTCTCCAGGCATTGCCACATGTCCCCGAGGGCAGTAAAAATCACTGCCATAGAGCCCATGGCAATCTCTTTTTTGGGGGAGGGGAGGGGTCTGGTCCTCTAGACACCACAGAAGGGCTCATCCTGTGGCCCTGAAGGTGAGGGAACTGCAGAGGCCCCCAGCCCCCACCCGCCCCTGCTCCCCTGCCGCCCTGATTCAGTCTCAGGGCCATATCAGCCCCTTGGCCACCTAGACCCCTTCACCTTGGGCCTGGAGGCTAGTGCCACGGGTGACAGAGGCAGGTGCTTTCAGAATGGCTGGGGGAACTGACTGAAGACCCCATAGACAGAAGGGTGACACTCTTTGCTGACAGGATTGAGCACAGACCAAGCCATTCAGCTCTGCAAAAGCTCATTAAGAGCTTTTTGAGAAGCTACCCCCATTTTTCAGATAAGGAAACTGAGGCTCAGAGGCATCTGAGCATTTGTCTGAGTTCACGCAGTTTGGGAGATGGTGTATAAGAACCTTGCAGAAGTCCCACAACTGGTTAGTGCAGGAACCAGGATTCAAACTCGCCCCTCCCGCTCCACCCTAGACCAAGCCCTGGCTTGGGCCCACCTGCCCTGGGTCTACCCGCTGGCTGTGCCCAAGACGCCGCTGCTGCTGTTAGGACAGACAAACAGTCCTGGGGTGGAGGCCCAGGGCCCAGCACATCAAGGATGAGACCCTTGCAGAAACTGGGGCAGAGGGACAGGCTGAGGGAGGAGGTGCAAGAGGAGGAGAGGAAGGAGGAAAAGAAAAAGAGGAGGAGGAAGAGGGAGCCCAGGCAGCCCCAGCCTTGCCCTGCCCTTCCGGGGGGTGGGGGGGGGGCACGCCAGGCTCCCAGTGACTAAGCTCCAAGGGCTGAGAACACCCCATGCCCTCCCTGGGGCCAGCACAGCCAGCTCTGGAGGAGGGTGGGGCCTGACTGCATACTTTCCAGGTTAACATCTGGTTTCATTTAACCCTCTCCTGCCCGCGCACGTCCTCCCTGCCCAGTGCACTGTGTGTGTGTGTGTGTGTGTGCACACGCATGCATGCATGTGTGACTTTAGGTCAGTGATTCTCAGCAGCGGGGGCGAGGGAGGCAGTTTTCTCCCCCAGAGGACATTTGTCTGTGTTTGGAGACATTTTTGGTTGTCACGCAGAGTAGGGTGGTTGCTACTGGCATCTACAATGCACAGGACAGCCCCCACAACACAGGATCGTCAGAACACGGTGTCAAGGGCACCGAGGTTGAGAAGCCTTGGTTAGAGGCTTGAGCAAGATGCCCCCATCTCCCCTACCTGGTTCCCTCACTCACACCTCTGCATCGCAAGAGCAGAGAAGCTCACGGGGCAAGTAAAGGGTCTCACCAGCCCCTCCCCTCCCTTCGGAATCCCACTACCTTATTTTCATTTGGGTTTTAAGCTAAAGCCAAAAGAAATCTGGACAGAGCTATCCCTCCACGATGCCCATCCCTGCAGGCAGAGCCCACCAAAGCCTTTAGATACCCACATACATTAGTATGTGCTTGTCCTTTGTGCCAGGGTTAGAATGGGGAAGACGGTGACTCAGGAGTGGGGTTTTCTGAGTAGGGCAAGAAGATCGTGTCCGAGACATTGCTACAGGTCTTCCAGGAAGTCAGGCTGTCCTCTCAAACCCTCCAGGCCCACGGGCACATGGCCTCGCCTAGCCCACGCCTGCAATTCCACCCTTAGCGCCTGCCACTTTTTAGTGGAAGGCCTTATGCCCTGTCGAAATGCAAATAGCACCGGGCGAGGCCGCTGGTGAGGGCTCCCAGGGCACCTGGTGCTGTGGAACGTGCCTGGCCTTCGAGTTTGAAGGTCTGAGCTCGGGGCCCGGCCCCGCCCTTACAGGTCAGGCGACCTTGGGCGAGTTGCTGAACCTCTTTAAGCTTCAGTTGCCTCATCTGCAAAATGGGGATAATGAGGCTGTCTACCTCCCCAGCCTTCTGTGGGGGCGTGATGGGTGGCGGGGGCCATGAAGGCGCGGTGCCAATAGGCATCACCGTCAGCCTCCCCCAGAAGTTCCTCCGAGGAGAAGGTTTAGGAAAGCATTTGTCTGAGCGGGGCTCAGGGGCTCTGCGGGGGTGGGGGAGAGGCTGAGGGTGGGCCTGGCCTCCCGGGGGCCGGACAGCATGGGGCCTGGAGCCCAGCTACCCGGCTTCAAATTCCAGCTGCCCCACTCACTGGCTGCCTGCTCTTTGGGTAAAGTATCATGCTCCGTACCTCAATTTCCCCCAGTATAAGTGGGGAGCAAGAGCAGGATGTCTCATAGGGTCACTGGGAGGATTTAATGAGCCTCACCGTGTAATGAATGTGCCCAGACCTCTTAGGCACTTAGATAAACTTGAGCCACTATTACGACTTATCACAAGTTTGCTGGGAGACGGGGTCGTGCCAACCGAGCAGTCCAGGAGACGTGTTGGGGCAGTGAAGGGGCGAAGGCACCGGAGGAGCTGGGTGGTGTCCCACTCCCTCCCTGCCTCTCCCGCGGGGTGACAGCAGAGGCCCCAGTGGGGAATAACACTCAGCGGTGGCAGCAGCCGCTCAGCCTCTGTGAGAGGGCCCGGCTCCCAGGCGCGCAGGCCGGCCTGGCTGGGGCCTTCGGACGCCCTCCTGCCACCCAGGCCTCTTGTTCCTCGGGTGCCCTGCCCCAGCCCTGTGGTGTCATCCCACCTTGCACATCCTTGACCGGGGCCCTCCTTGGTGGTGAGCTGGAACGTCTGGGGCTCCAGGGGCTCTTGGGGGCTCTTGGGAGCCTACTTGGAGTGCCAAGGTGAGGAGAGTTTATATGAGGCCGGGGGCATTGTGACACCGCCCTACAGCACAATCCCTTCTGTCTTTCCAAGGAGACGCGGGGTCAGGACTCAGGGCAGAAGTCTCAGGCCCACAAGGGTCTTCTTTTAACCTTGACATCGGCCCACTCTGCCTTTCCCTTTTCCCACAAACCCCTAGAACCCACAAACTGCGGGCAGTGGGGGTGGGGAGAGGTCATCCTGGTTACTCAGGGAGCTCCAGAGTCCTAACGTCTCCCCAGGCCCCGGCGCGTCACAGGAAATCACTGGCAGGAAGGACATGTGCCCTGCGGACTCTCCACTCTGCCTGTCTGTCTGCCTTCCAAATCACAGAGATGGGTGGATGGATGGAGGGACGGACGGAGCAGTGGAGGCGGACGGGCAGGTGGAGGGTCTGGGTTGGTGGACGCGCAGACCCTCCTGATTGGAGCCCCGCTCACCGCCTCAGCCCCATCTCTTGCTATCTCTCCCCTCACTGTTCATGCAGCAGCTAATTCCTCAGACGTGCCCTGCTTTCTCCCCTCTGAGCCTTTGCATATGCTGTTCCTTCTCCTGGACTGCTTGGAACAGGGGGTGGTTAGGAGAGGAAGGGATGGGATGCTAGGTGGGTGGACAGATGGCGGAATGGGGGTGGCCACGGGGGAGTGGATGGCTGGACAGACTGTCAGTAAATGCGCAGACGGTGGATGCATGGAGCACAGGATCGCAGGCCCAGGGGTTGCACTGCCTGGGCTTGACCCTGGCTCCAGCATTTTACTAGTGTGTAATTCGGGGCAAATTAATTGGCCTCTCCGCGCTGCTGTCTCCTCGTGTGTAACACAGGTAGTCTAAAAGTCCCTGCCTGCTAGGGCTGGGCAAGGCACTTAGGACAGTTCCCTGCACAGAGTAAGCAATCAATAATTATTAGCTATTATTATGTGTGGGTCAGTAATTGGATTGACGGGTGAGTGACTTGAGTGGATGGCTCTGTCCCCATCCTCAAAAGTCAGCCTGCCCACCTCCCTAGGCACCTGCTGGGATTGTGACCTGGGCTTCTCCCTGGGGTCGGGGAGACAATGAGGGGAGGACTAAGGGAGAGAGATAGAGCCAGCCAGTGCCCTCCTGCCCTATCCCACATGGGCTTGGGCTGGAGAGGGACTTATTTGTTTCCTTCATGGCCCTGCGTCAGCACTGACTGTTGGTGACAAGGTGGACCTTGGTGCCCACAGGCAGGTTGGAAGTCGGGTGTTGATGACTTGTGCACTGTGCCTAGATCTCACGCCCTGATGGTAATGACCCCTAATTTCCAAGGGGGCCCAGAGGGAAGGAGAAGGAGCAGCTGCAACAACCGGCACCTGCCCTGCTGCAGCTTCTGGTCAGGGGTGTCCATGCACTCTGGGGAGATGTGCTCTTGCTTGGAAGGAAGGGAAGGGGGGAACATGACATTCTGGGCACACTGGCCAGCGTCTCTGGCTCTGGAGAAAGTGGCCTGGCTTCCAGCCCTGGGCCTGGAGCCACTGGGAGCTACTGGGCAGCTGGCAGGGTCTGGGGAAGCAGGGAGCTACAACTTAGCACACATTAGACTTTGGCTCAGCCAGTAGACGTGGGTGACCTAAGTCCTGTCTCCTCTCTGAGCCTCAGTTTCCCTATGTATATCATGAAGGTGCTGGGGCCCTCCACCTTGGACACCTGAAGGTGGAGGAATTGAGTCATCCTGAGGCCCTCAGGCAGGGATCCTCGACAGAACACAGGACTGGGCCCTGCCAGCAGTGTCCCCAGCCTAGGCTATGCCACCCTCACTGTGGGAACCTCAAGAGGGTGCAGTGGCCAGGAAAATCTCCTTTAGGGAGGCCTGGCCAGACAAGCCATATCTGTCCGGTTTCATTTGTAAACTGCATCATGCTTAAGATCATGACCTCTGGACCCACTGTGCCTGGGTTCAAATCCCAGCTCTGCTACTTCTCAGCTGCATGGCTTACATGAGTTACTTACTTTCTGTGTGCCCCAATTCCTAATCTGCAAATTGGGGGTGATAGTAGAATGTACTTAGAAGGCTTGTTGTGAGAACCACGTGAGCTTAGACCAGTGCCTGTTACACGGTAGGTGGTGTTGTTCGGTTGTTATTTCTGAACTCCAGACAACACTGATTCAAGCCCACCTCCTGGGAACTCCC